GCCGACTCCCGGGCCGCTGCGGTGTTYACTCACTCATGGTTTGTTTCACTTTTGTCTGGCTCAGAAGCAAGCATTCCCACACCGATGAGGCATAAAGGCCGTGGGGGCACTTTTCTTTAAACTCGTGTCTAATTAGTTGCTCACAGAGGYTTGTGTGAGTCACCGAGGAGAGGGGAGTCACGCCAGCGCTGCTCATGTGCAGGTTTGCACACGCGGCACAACACAATGACTTCTCCAGCRTTTAGATGAAGATCGAGATAAGATGGAACAGAACTCAGGTACAGATGTTTTCCACTGTCAGGGCATTGCCTTTGAAGACCTGACAAATAACTCTCTGCACAATGTTTTATTGTTGTTTCCTGTTACTAAAGAAACATGCCAAGTCAGTGACTTTAAATGGCTGCATGCATTTAGCTGTAATAATTCCTGTTTGCTTTGATGACAATCAAACTCCAAGCACACTGGCCTGTTTCAACTGAGCCTTCTCTGCAGGATAGGTGGGCTCTCCCTACGAGATCGGGTGAAAAGTTTAGTTATCAGGGAGCTGCTGCTACTCCACATCAAGAGGCATCTGGTAAAGATGCCTCCTGGATGTGATGGACCTCCCCAGGGAGATGCTCCAAGCACGTCCAAACGGCAAGACCTTGAAGACCCAGGATTCGCTGAAGAATCGTTCCCTCAGCTGTGCAGGAAAGGCCTTAAAGTCCTCCCAGAAGAGCTGGAAGAGGCAGAGATGTCTTCCTGCTCAAGCTGCTGCCCCCCTCCAAGACCCGACTCTTAAAAAAAAGGTGGCACATGATGGACGTTCGCTTGAATTATAATTTGCTTCCTCTTCAAAACACGTGAAAGGAAAAGTGCAGCTCAGCATTTGGCAAAGCTAAGAAAAAAAACAATAAGATATCTGCAGCTGCCTCGATTAACCACAAAACCACCACGAGCTAAAGCAGAAAGCATGGAAGTGTGAGAAAATTTTGAGTCAACTATAGATTTATTTTTCAAATTAGTGTGAATGATAAATTGTTCTCTGCACAGCCTTTAATCTTGCGGACGTCAAATGTGAAAAGAGCTTTTTGTTTTAGATCTTAAGCCTATCCAAAATGCCACTTTGTTCTGGCAGGTAAAAACATGAAGGCCCTATTAAATCCTGTTTTTTTTAGATCTCTCTCAAACAGACGGGATATTGTCACTGATATTCAAACGGTAACAAATAATGAAATTTGGGGATTATTTTTTTTGGCCATGGATAAGAGATGATTATATATGGATTAAACTTGAAAAAGGGCGACTGAGATACTTTTTTTTTAATTCCCAGTTGTCCTCAGTTGCACTTAGATAATCTAATTCTTCTTTTTAAAACTTAGATAAATTCACAATCAGTTTTTTTTTTTTTTTTCGTTTTTAAACTGCATTAGAGGACCAGTTTGTTTTGTGGCTTGTTTCCAAAGGACTCAAACATTCTGGTGTTAGCCGTAACGTTTTAACAAGTATAAAAACAACAGTAGCAACTCTGACAGGAGTGATTGATAGCACCCTAAGGACAGCTGGGAAAGCACCCCCCCCCMCCCCCCCACACACACACACACACTTTATCTGTCGTTGCAAACATGTATACACACACAGTCTCTGAGGATACATCCAGATCATTATATCAATGTGAAAATGTCTCTGACGTGCCGTCATGGCTGGTAAAGTGAGCAACATGGGTCCTGCAGCTTTTCTAAGAAGGGTCTCGAGGGGGGGTGCATGTGTTTTTGTGCTACAGTCATTGGGGAGCGAAGGGAGCCTAGAACTCCATCCACCGCCACAATTCTGCATAAACACCAGGCCAAGGCGGCCCGATGAGGGATCTGAGACACAGATACAGTCTGAGGACATTTATTCAGAGCAGGTGTGTGTGTGAGGTTAAGGTACACAGTGTTTCATCACGTGTGTTTATATATGCTAATCTATGTGCCGGTCAGTCACTTCCCATAAAATCAAGAAGTGGACAGAGCGCTCTACTTTGTTCATGAACATGGGAGGAACCTCCTACAGCCTGTTCCAGATGTGAGATTAGTTTAAATTCTAAACCCACTTTAACACTAAGTTCCCTGAGACACACTGAAGGAATAACAGGAAGTGAAAGACTTATTGTTGGGGCATTCCTGCAGATGAGCCCATTAGTCGTTAAAGGAAACACATCATGCTTTTAAATCCTTCTTTTTCAGATTTGGATCATTCAGTTGAGGTCTATATAAAGTGGAACTGCATTGATTTGGTCTGAATTCCTCCCTATTGTAACTCCACAAGCCCCTCTTTTACCCCCTTTCTGAGGCATGTCTCAGATCAGCTCGTTTTGAGGCTGTCTCTTCAAATCCAAACAAGGCACTTCACATCCCGCAGCTTCCAGAGTGGTCCATCCCAGTCTGACAGAAGGGTTTACGAGCAGCACGGAAGCTTTTTATTTATAAATTAAAAGATGTCAACAATGGAAGGCTTGTTGGCATGTCGGAGCCAGAATCTGATCCAGAGCCAGAGGAGGATGAAGGCGATGAAACTGTAGTTGGTAAGTCCAGATCTTATTTGGCAGTTCAGTCACAAATAATTTGACATGCTAGAGAAAACTGAACAGACTGAAAATATATCTATGCAGCACAGAGAGAAAATAAATTAAAATTTTTCTTGCACTCCTAGAGCCTTCAAGTACACAACTAAATATACATATCTAAGAGCTAAAACGTGTATTTTATATATGACCCCTTTAGTCTCCTCAGTCGGTTCATCTCATATCAATACAACTCGATCTTGCAGAAGAGATTACAATTTTAATATCAAAAGTACTTAATAATCGAGAAAGTCTAAGTATTTCAACACACGCTCTAAGAAATGTTAACTGGTTCCACAAAACTTGAGTTAAGTAGAGCAATTAACTCAACCCATTTAAAATCCCGTGGGGATTGGTCTTTCCCAGCAGTTGCACTCCAACTGTGGAGTGCACTGCCTCAGTCTAAATGCAGCCTTGATTAGATGCTTTTAAAAAAAACATATGAAGTCTTTCTTTTACAAACAGGCTTTTAGTTAAATTGTAAGTTTTTTATGTATATACTGTTTTGACTTGTATTTTGTATGAATG